AATGTTTTTCACACAAAGATAATTTAAGTTATTTTCCTGCGCTTTCATTTAATTATATACGAACCAAGAGTTCTAATTTTAACATGATACGCACATTTAAAACATTAAATTAGACACATTTGGCATTGTTGATGTTAAGTAAATTGAACATTGTATATTTTATCCTTTAGAACGGGATAAACCAAATCTATGACTTTGTCATGACCTCAGTAGGTCTAGAATTAATCTAATAGCTATCAGGTCTCTATAATTGATGCATATATCACTATTTTACGCATCAACATTCGCGTTTCTGACCTAAATTATTATCAGTTTCCTATATTTTGAAAGTAAGTAGCACCTAAATTTTGTTATTTATTTTATGTATTAGTCATGATATATAGCTGTCTGTGGTGTGGATGGTTCATTATTTATTTTGATTTTCACATTATTTTAGATTTTGATCTTCTGCCAACTTCCCGATCAATCGGAGACATTGAAGATGATGTATCAGCAGATCGAAGCGATGGCCATGCTCTGCTAAAACTAGCAACTAGTATTAATTCCCTACACGGCCATCCCGATGAACTCGAACCCCATGGACATTCGCGCATTGTTGAAGCCTCGGGTTCTATCGTTGATGGAATGGATATGATCGCAAACGTGGCGGCGATGGGGCGCGAATCGATAAACTCACGTCAGCGTCGACGCAGTGGGCATCATCACACTGCTGCCTCTCTCACAAGTCTGGTTGTGGCTAGCGCTGCCAGACGACGTCAAACGTCTGGGATGAGGGTAACTCGTAAGTTAATTTCCTCTGCTTAATTTTGTCTCCAAAACCTCATGCAATCAGAATTGCGAGCCTTCGCATCTATATGTCTTTGCTTAGTTTATCTCAAACTTCAATTCCATTGACTGTATAGAATTATTAATCACAACTTAGCTGTGCTTATAAAGGGACAGATATACCGACTCCAGCATCGGATCTTAGACTTACCACAGACACGTGATTTGATGCTAAGCATTGCTCTCTCCTATGATATACAAGTAAAAGCCAGGATTCTAAGAATTCATGTTATTGGATCTTTAGTTTTATTGGAAAAGTTGAGTGAAGGGATTTGTAACTTGCCGTAAACCGGAGGATTACTTTGAAATCACAGATGTCGAGGGCTTTAACAAATCAACAGGTTAGACTACGGCAATCCTTCGGTATCCGATACGATCGACTTACAAATCCCTTCCACCCAACTTTTTAAATAATGTGAGATGTCCAATGGCATGACCTCCGATTTTTCTTTCTAAATTGTTGGCGATTAGCCTAGGAATGGTTTCAATGATTTAAGCAACCTGACTTTTTGGGCGATATTGAGTGTGCTTACGGTAATCTCGTACTGTGCAAGGCTGATTCAACATATTTTATGAGTTTGTTTATATTCCACACTATCTATATTTGTATCGCGTCTTCCCTACTACTTTGCGATTAATGCTGGTTGCCCATGCTGCGCATTCACACGTAATGTAAGACTCCTCCACAAGTTCACATACTTTGGCCTCGCTCTTGCACAATTTTGTAAATCCTTAACTCTTGTTTGAAGATTTTATAATTATTTTTTCATCGATGTCATGAAAATGTTACGTTTCTCTCGCGCATTCGAGTTTGAATGGTTGACCTTTGTCTTTATTCGCACGGAATGAACCTACTCCATAGACGAAT